GCATGCTCTTTTGCTGGGATTAACTCCTCCTCGTCCGTTGTTGTCTCCGATGCCACCGGGTCAGCTGTCGGGGTCCGTACCTCGTTCATCATGTCAGGTGTGGTGCCGTCCACGACTGGATTAATTGCAGGGGCCGGCACATCGGCCTCCTCCATGTGTGGCTCTCCTTGGTCTTGGGCCTTGATCTTCACAGCCTGAGCCGAGGAAGATGAGGGGCCATCGCTGACGGTGCCTGGCTGTCCGTCGCCCTGCGATTCCGCCTCCTCAGAGTGCCATTCGGTACTCTCGGTCCACGAATTCCAGCCATGCCACCACCCTGTCGATTCCGTCGCTCCATGTCGCCACTCATTGTGGCCTTCCCACGACTGCCAGCCCCGTTGCCTCAGCTCCGTGGCCGTTCTGCGACGGCGACCATCTGCTCGGTAGTGCGAGCGAGGGTGCTCCCTAGGAGGGAGACCTCTCTCGGCTCTCGTGGTTTGCCTCATTTGAGCCCGAGGTCTGGAGGTGGAGATGCTCATGCAGGCATTGCAGACTGGCGGCTCGGTACGCTCTGGTGAAATATGTGGTGCAGGCAGACTGCAAATTGAGTGTCCTGCCCTGGAGCGGAGGTCTGCACGTGGTGGGGCCGAAAGCGGCTCCCCTGCATCAGGCAGCGTTTGGAGTGCCCTAATGCTATTGGACTGACAACTGCACTCTCTCGGATGGCTCATGCACTCACCTACATCAGACCGACTGCAGCTACGCACAGTGAAGGACATGTAAGTAGCAGCCCATCCCGCATGCCAGCATGGTATATACATCACTCTCACAGACTGTTCAGCACCTATGATCATGACTTCGTGTCGAGCAAGACCAAACGACCGTGCAGGCGCTGAGGTCCCGACCGGAGGTGCAACACGGATCCACTGTGGACAGATCTCTGCATCCGCTGTCAGCCAGGCTTCCAGGGTCTGTTCTGGAGGCTGCGAGTGCTGCACAGGCCAGTTGATCCCTAAGGTGGTGTTTGCTGACAGAGGGGTATGCGTGGCGTCCTTGCATCGGCCTTCCCCCTGTTCGGGGGCCGCATGTTGTTCAGGCAGTGTACACAACACGCACACCGATCGGGAGGTACCGAGTGGCTTGGCATTATGTCTAGCTGGACTCGGATCTTGCACGGTTACTGGGGCCCCTGCTGGAGGTGCGTCACGGATCCATTGCGCGCAGATCTCTGCAGCCATTGTCATGTATTCTATCGAAGACTGCTTGGGAGGCTGCGAGTGCTGCACAGGCCAGTTGATCCCTAAGGTGGTGTTTGCTGACAGAGGGGTATGCGTGGCGTCCTTGCATCGGCCTTCCCCCTGTTCGGGGGCCGCATGTTGTTCAGGCAGTGTACACAACACGCACACCGATCGGGAGGTACCGAGTGGCTTGGCATTATGTCTAGCTGGACTCGGATCTTGCACGGTTACTGGGGCCCCTGCTGGAGGTGCGTCACGGATCCATTGCGTGCAGATCTCTGCAGCCATTGTCATGTATTCTATCGAAGACTGCTTGGGAGGCTGCGAGTGCTGCACGGACCAGTTGATCTCTAAGGTGGCGTTTGCTGACCGGGGCCCTTGCGTGGTGTCCCGGTATCGGCTTTCCCAGTGCGCTGGGGCCGTATGATGCTCTGGCAGGGTCTCCCACATTGGCAGCAGGGCACACATCCAAACAAGCATGCATCTTGTTATGCACTGACGTTCCCACTTTGCATGTTTCCCTCTCAAAAATCTCTCTCTCCTTCTTGGCACTTTCCAAGCAAGTTTGGTGCTGTGGCTCAGCACCGAGCCAATCCATGGCATGAAAACTACGTCCTCTCTCACTTGTGTGAAGAGAGGCACAAAAACACACTACCCCCTCCCCCCCTCCCGACTCACGCTACAAACAAATTTGAGCCGGAGGCTTGACGGGTGGTCTGCGCAGTTCGACGGGGAAGGGACCCGTGAGAACCAAGGGATGAACTCGCACCCCACCTCCAAGCCAACAAACATAGTAAGCAGATTTTTCACTATTGGGGACCTGCCCCGACAGGAAATCAAAATATCCCTAACCGCATTGTTGTCGATGAAAGCCACAACAGGTGAATGCGCAACCCTTTTGCCCCAAAGGCGGAACGCAAGCAGCACTGCAACAAACTCCGCCTCCATTATAATCGTGTCCTTGTTAAGCTCACCCAAGAGCTTGCGGGCATCCCTGTCAAGGGCATGAGAGAAACCAGCAACCAACACACCCTTGTCATCAAACAGAAGGCCACCCACGCCGCAAGGCAGTGTGGGATCATCTTTCGAGTATGACGCATCCGTGAAAACATACCAGGTTCGTTGCTTGCTAACCTGCACTAATCGAGGGCGGCCGCTTTCCAACATGTCAACAAGCGAACTGAAGGTGTCGATGCACTCATCCGGCAGGTCGGGAGGGGCACAACCGTGGGCGTACTCCGAAAGCAGTTGCAAGCAAAATTTGCTCTGGCGTCCAAACAGCTGGCCACTCGCAAACTGAAGTTTTCCCCTCAGCTTGAGAGCTTGAGGCACACTCATACGCCGGTCTTGCTGGGCCTGCTTCATTGTCTCAACAAGGAGATGAACTCTCTTCTCCGTATTGCAAATAGTCACCCGACCCAAGTGGGCACTTGATAGCACTATGTCAACCCCTAGTGCACAAAAGGCCTCGGCGAACGGTACATCCTTCTTCCCACCCTGGGCGAGGTCCCATCCCAACAAGGCGAAGAGCAAGGTGATTGTTTGGTGTACATTGGCCACCTGTGTGCCTTTAGCCACCGACACAAAGTCATCGAAGTAGTGGGACCAACAAAGGGCGAAAAAGGATGCACCTAGGTGCCAGATCGAATTAACGGCTCGCAGAAAAGTTGACACGGACTTGACCGCCCCGAAAGGGAGGGCGTGAAGCTGGAACACTACTACCCTCTTCAGGTCAGGATCCCACAACCCAATGTACGAGGCCCATGCCCCCGTAGGGTCCAGTGCCAATTGTCTATAGGCACTGACCAGGTCATAGAACCTTCCTTTGAGACTACAACCCGGCAGCACTCGCATCAGAGACAGGCACATACCCGCAATGACGTCAACTGTCTGGGGACGCACAGTCTCCAATGTCTCGACGGAGCCATTGATTCCTGACCCCGAGAAGTCGTCAATCAACCTGATCTTCCCATCCTGCTCGATCCCAAACCTTCGAGACACGATGGCATCAGGTGGCAGCTGGTCCACCTCGATGGGACCGGACAACCAGCCCCTGTCGCGCTCCTCAAGGGTTTGCGTTTGGACCTCGCGATCGAGGGACTCCCCCTGGGACTTAATAGTGGACAACAGGGCTGCCCTAGATGTGGGGGCATCTCTTTTGAGCTGCTCAACCGTGACCGACGCCGGCTTGAACTTTGGAGCGAACACTCCTGTATCGGGCACCGGGCCCCCCAGGTTAGTACCTGAGATCACTTCATCAAAGATGGCCACATCATCATAGGAAGCCTCAATCATCATTGCCTTCCACAAGAGGAGACGCTTAGGCTTGAGAATCGTCGAGACCTGTTTGTGCATAGACGCCTTCAATGCATCTTCCTCACTTCTGAGGTCTTGTGCAAGCTTGAGCCACTTTGCAAATTGTCGCGCCCTCAACGCGCACAGCTCCGACTCTGTCATCGAAGCATGGGTGCACACCGCGTCTTTGAGAACCTGTGGCAAGGCGACCTCGAGAGTTCTAGGATGGCCAGCCTTGACTGCCTCACGGACAAACTGTTCCGGGGAAAAGGGAATACCCCAAACAAGCTCGTTCCAGAGCTCAGAGCCAGCACTACAACCCTTGCCCCCGGAGCCACCACTTGAACTCCCCTGCTTAACCGGGACCACTTGTAGCAGTTGGGCTTCGGCCGGCACCGAGCGTTCGGGGCAGACCGCCACTGGCGGTAGGGGCCACGAGTCCTTAAGGCGGGCACGCAGGGGGACAGGACACGAAACACATGGAGGGATTCGTACTCGCAAAATGCGAGCATGTTCGGGCACACGGGGCCCCGTCACCGAGGCCTTCGGCTGACTACCCTCTTTCTGGGTACGGGGGTTTTCTGGTTTGGTGTATCTCAATTCCCAAACATATATATACAAAAGGGGAGAAAAACTCATCTCAAACTATCGCTCAACGGAATATCTCATCTTAAGCAACTCCTTAAAAATCCTGATGGGAATAACTCATGCATATTCCACCCAGTTCGATCGTTCCTTTTTCTCAGACAGCATCAGGGGTAGCGCGAGGGCCACGTGCAGTCTCAAGAAGTCTCCCGGCCGCCACTACGGCCTTCAAGTGAGCCCCACCACCCCAGGGAGGGAGGGAGGGCAAGAAAATTTTCCTTCCCCTGGCTCAAAGAAAGGTTTGAGACTGCACGGGCCCAAAGTCATGCACAAGCCTATCTTGCTCTCAAAACTTTCATGTACATGCTGAGGAAAATTTTCCACAAAGACAAGTGCATCTCGTGCATACATAAGCAAAGTACAATGGAGTATTCAAAGCTGCCTGAAGGCGTCTGAGCTGGAGAACTTGCAACATCCCAGCCGTCCGTTAAAGGGGGGGGGCAACCTACAACAAGGCTCCCCGCAGCGACATCATGAGCACCAGAAAACCCGCCCGGCCCCTCCCGGGCTTCCCGCACCCAAGGGAAAGAGAGTCTAGTCGGCAAGCCGAAAACGCCCCTCTTTCTGGGTACGGGGGTTTTCTGGTTTGGTGTATCTCAATTCCCAAACATATATATACAAAAGGGGAGAAAAACTCATCTCAAACTATCGCTCAACGGAATATCTCATCTTAAGCAACTCCTTAACAATCCTGATGGGAATAACTCATGCATATTCCACCCAGTTCGATCGTTCCTTTTTCTCATACAGCATCAGGGGTAGCGCGAGGGCCACGTGCAGTCTCAAGAAGTCTCCCGGCCGCCACTACGGCCTTCAAGTGAGCCCCACCACCCCTGATAGCGTTCAGGCTCGCTTGAGCTCGAAAATCCTCTTCGCCAGCTCTTCCAAGCGGGAGAAGGGTTGGACTTCAGATGCTCCCACCATCGTCACGACCTCAATGCCGTGACCTCGCGATGGCGCATCACCTGGGTTCGAAAAGGAAGGCACTCGTGATACCCACCACATGGATGGATGCTCCTGGTCCAACTGAGAGAAGATTCGGGCAAGAGAATGCATGGCCCAGCTTCTGCTGGCCCCCTTTATCACGAGGCTGCGGGTGGCGTTGTTGTCCACCCACCACACCACTCTTCGGGACTCCAGGATGGAACTCAATTCCATCATGGATGCAAGAATCGCGAACATTTCGATTTCGCAAATCAGCTGATCCCCGCCGATCTCTGACTTCCACAGCTCAAGCACCCTTGACGGGACACGGCCCTCATAGACCCAACCGGTCCCGGAGAAGCAGTCATAAGCAGCAAGTCCAAGCCACCCCTGCCTCCCAGGAGCCATCCGTCCAAAGGTGAAGGACATCGGTTGTCATGAAGCACTTCAAAATGCGCGGGGTCTCGTCCTGCAAAAGGCGGATGGTGTGATGGCAAAAATCTCGGAGGTCAAGAGGGCTGAAGTGTAAGCCACCCACTATGCGCGAGAGCACATGTGAGGCGTGTTTCAAAGCCCTGCCAGCGTAAAAGCCCGAAGCGTATTGCAACAAACCCTGCAGGACCTGGGCAAGCTGCCTGCTAATCTCACCCCTAGAACCAACCTCCCGAAGCTGGGCCACAATGCGCTCGATGCGACCCTGCTTGTTGGCAAGGCTCACCTCTCCTTGGGCTACCCTGTCCAGGCCCAAGGTCATCCCCAAGACGTCAAAGCTTGGAGCAAAAGCACGACCCTTCACACCCGTCTTGGCGTGACGCCACCCCAGGCAATCCAAGAAGTCGCTCACAACCGAGTCAGCACTGTCGGCCGTGGCCGCTGGACACAGCAGGGGGTAGTCGTCGAAGTACACCCCGGAAGGAATCCAGAGCAGTCGATTGATCAAGAACCACAAGCAACGGCTCACCCGGTTAAAGGCATACACTGCTGCGGTGCTGCCAAAAAGCAAGCTATTTGACAGGTACAGGGCGTCGCGCCCATCTTCTTGCCGCACTGCTATGACTGCCAGAGGCCGGTGGGCTGGCAGAACTGCAAGCTGTTTATACGCTTTGCTCAAGTCAAGGCACTTGCCGTGCCACTCCTTCGCCTCGGGGTGCGCCCTGCCCTCGTGGATCTCGCGGGCCACGAACAGGGCCATGGCGGCCAGGTAGTCACCGTCTTGCAAACGCAAGTGGATGCTCGATGTGTACCCCGAGTTCAGCTGGGCCTCGAGGCAGTTGTCGATTGGGCGTGCTTTGCCCTCAGCACCCTGGAAAATGACGAAGCGGCGTATCACCGTCCAGTCCTCTGTCTCGAGTCGGGATGAAACTTCATCCCTGCTGTCAAAATGGCCCCTCAAGGAAACCGAGCGACACCTCCTCTTGAGATGCCTCCGCCAAGACTCTTGCCTCCTCAGCATCAATCGGCTCGGACTTGCTCAAAAGCGCCTCCCGTCTGACCTGTGCAGTCTGGAAGAGTTCGGCTTCAGTCAAGGCCGCGGGCACAAGCTTGTAGTCGAAGCACGGAGGGCACTCTGATACCCCCACCAAAGGCACCCCCTCCTTAAGGAATTTGATGGCTCCCATGTCGTCATATCCCTCCGACTGCAACAAAGCCTCAAGGGCAAGGATGGCCTTGCCCTCCATGACCTTGGCCACCGAGCGTGGCATTGATTTGTGAAGCGCCCTCTCCTCAGCTCGGAATCTGTCCACCTCTCGTCTCACCCTGGCCAGAGCAAGCCGACGCTTCAACTCCACCAGCTTCGGGTCCTTGGTGAGGTTCTCCCTCAAGGCTGCGAGCGTCACAGCCTCCAAAGGATTGGCAGAATCCATTGGGCGCGGCACCTTCTTCGCCTCATCCACAAACTCAGAAGGACTCCTAAGAACCCCCACTTGAACCCAATCCTCACAACCATCCTGCAAAGGCGAGCCACTAGGAGTTCCAGGCTCAAGCGACGAAAAGGCTGAGGTCTCCGGGATGCTCCCTCCCTGAACAGCGCCTGACAAAATCGGGGCTCCAGGGATGGTCCCTCCCTGAAGGGTGCTAGTGGAACCGGGGGCTTCAGGGATGGTCCCTCCCTGAAGGGTGCTAGGGGAACCCGGGGGCTCAGGAGCCTCAGAGATGGTCCCTCCCTGAACGGTGCCAGGGGAGAGCGGGGCTCCAGGGATGGTCCCTCCCTGACGGATGCCTAGGTCCTGCTGCGCCAGAACACCCCCTATCGAACTGCGCAGAAGCTTCAGGTGAGGCAAAGGGGCAAAAGACTGCCGAGGCATCCACGTGACCTGGCAGAACTCTGACACGAGAGGAGCATGTCTGCGGTGCTGTCTGCCGGCGAACTGCAAAGCTTGACTCCGCGCGGTGGGTTGGGGGATCAACGAAAAACCCGCCGCTAGCGCCCGCTGGGCCACGCAGAGAGAATACCTCTGTGCAAGGATACAAGGATACGCGGCCTCATCCTTGGTTGCAAAACGCACACTCCCGCAGTCGACGATCCTGCCCCACGGCTTGTGAAGGTGATTTCCCGGGCAGGATGCCCGGAGCGACTCAAAGCACTTGGGGGAGCACAGCAGCTTGGTTCCTTTGGGCCTGGAGCCCCCATGGCAGCATTGATCAAAGCACACCTCAGAAAGACGGGGCAGGAGGCGATGACGGGGCTCAGACGGCTCGAACGCCGCAAGAATCTCCCACAAGAAACTATTGCGCGGGTTCTCAATGCAAACTATGATGCGATTGTCCAGACAATATCTGAGCACTCTATAGCCGAAAGCATAGAGCCGATTGGCAGTGTCAACTCGACAAGAGTCCACAGAGCCAGGCTGTAAGCTGGGCAGCCCCAGCGGGAATTCGCGGCTGCGCAGGGGAGACGGCCCCTTCTCTCCATTTGGCAAAGGTCTGCCTCGCGCCTTGCTGCTTGTCCCACACGGCAAACCAAGATGCACGAGGAACGGAGGATGTTTCTTCATCAGATCCCAGAAAAGGCTCTGCCCTACTTCAGAGGACAGGTCAAGTTGAGCTACAGGCACACAGGAGTCACAATGGTGATGGTCAAAGCTATGCACGTGAAAGCCTGCCTGGCGCAAGGCACGGGACAACGAACCCTTCCCAGCAAACAACTCAAAGGCGCAGGGAGGCCTAGAAAGTGTTTGTGATGTCTCAAGCGGGATGGGAAGCTCCGGTGGCAGCAGGAATCCTAAGGCCCGCGCCCTAGCCAGCTCGTCCAAGGCTCAGTCTGATGGTAGTTTGACCATGCATCAAAAACTAACGGCTCGGAAGTAAGCTCATGCACGCTGCCACTCAACTCAAGCTGACCAGAAACCCGCACGTCGTCACCTGGTCCCTCTATCCACAATCCGCCGCCCTTGAAGTCTGTGACTCGGAACAAGGCATTGGGCCAAGGTGCGTTGCGCCCATCCTTATGAAGAGGGGTCGCACTGTTCGAAAAAGAAGCCACAAGTGGAGAACACATGACCGGGAAGACGCTCCTGGACGAAGCGGGTCATAATTCGGCTTGCAAGCGGAAAATTGTGACACTCCTTGCGCAACCCCCGAAAACCTCCCTGGGCATAGCAACCAGTCACGAAAGCACTACGAACTTCACGCGAACCTCCTCGCACCTCATCCTTCGGAAGCAAACCAAAGAGCGACTGAAGGTCGGACTCCGAGATCTGTGCAGCACTCTTCAAACGCGTTTGTGCCCAAACCTCAGGATCCACTAAGGACAGATCCCCAGTTTCCAGTGCGCCACAATTCACCCCTCCAGAGTCCGGCGCATCCTCTGGGGGGCCCCGTCAAGAACCCCCTTTAGGGCAATTAGCAAAAGGGTGACTTCCAAAGCAGCCCTTACGCCAACACTTGTGGAAACCTTTGAGGCACCTGCCATTCTTGCACTTGTTCTTGCACCCATGCGTGTTGTATGCAAAGCACAGCGGACGGTTGGCATCGTCCTTCGTTACACACCCCTCGGGAAGATCAAGCGTCTTGCCAGCGCCTTTCCCCTTTTTCTCCTTGCCAGCGCCCTTTCCTCCCTTGTCCCCTGGCTTGCCCCCATGCAGGAACTGGTGTGGCGGAGGATTCGGCAAGGGGGCCAAGTATTGCATGATCTCAGGACTACGTGAAAGGCGGGTGATCTCGGCATCAAGAACTGGATCTGTGCCCGCAGGTGCTGTCAACCTGCCCATCAAGTTATTACTTGCAAGAATGAACAGCTGCTTGTCGGCCTCGATGATCTGTGACAACTGAACTCCTGCAAATCCCTTTGGCTGAACCCGCTGCAAAACTGAGAACAGGAACTGAACATGCTCCTCCAGCACACGAAAAGAAGCGAGATTAGCCATGTCGAAAGCCAGCGACCTTCTGCTCCAAGCTTGCCGAAGGCGCATCTCTGAAGCCACGTCGCACGCGAGCTCATGTGGCTTCATAGTCACCTTCAAGCTATGATCAGCTGCAAGATTGACGCTACTGTCGCGCTTGAGGCACTGGGCTTCCTGAGCTCGGCTGATCCACTTGCTAGGAGGATGATATTGCAAAACGCCTGACTCCAGCATCTCAACACAAAGGTCCACGCATGAGTTCGCCGGCCGGGTCTCAGGAGTGAAGACCAAGCCGCCCAGAGTCCTCTCCTGGCGAGCCTGCCTGTCCATGCGCTCGGCAGCTGCTAACTTCTTCGGATGTCCTTCCACCCCGGGCTCGATCCGTGACTTGACCTCCTCAATGGCCATGCTGACGCCATCGAAGAGAAGGCGGCGCAGGCTCGCCTTCTGGTAGCCGGTGGGACTGATGCCAAGACCGTTGATCCACGCGTCCACAGCCTCATCAGTCAAGGTGGTAGGCGTCGCCGACACAGCGAAAGCCAAGCGCCCGAACGTGGTGTAACCATTGTCCACTAGGCCCTGGATGGTCTCTTCGGTGAGGCCAATCTTCGTAGCTCTATCCAAGAAAGCCGCCTCTGAATCCAGGTTCGCTGAAGCCATGATTCACACCGTGCGGCGTAGGCACTCAAAGGCTGATCGAATGATCCCTTCGAACTACAATATAATCTGAAAAGAACTCGCCAAAATTTGAAATCTCGGCATGAAGTCACAGATGAACTGACACCATGCGTGCACGTGTATCCTTAGAAAGCTCTTCCTCGCTGGAGCCTCTCATCTGCCATTGACATGAAAGTCCACTGGATGCTCAACTGCCATGTCTTTGCAGCAACGCGCCCCCTCTATCGAGTGCCATCTCCCAGGCACTCAGGGTCGCGATCCTCTCGCACATCAGCACCCAGAAGAACACCTCGCTCACAGGGCCGCTCCCAGGCCCCTGAGGTTGTAAACTCCTCTTTTGACTTTCACAGCAGTGATGTCTCTCTCTACTCGCCCATGGCGCGCGAACACTGCAAGCAGACGTCGGGATCCTCAGCTCCCACGCCCTCATATGAAGAGTATCTCTCGGTGCAAAGCCTCCCGCACAAGAAGACGCCATCCTCCCTCAAGCAGTGCGCTATGCCCGAAGTCATATGGATTCTACACTTGGCCAGGTCGACGTTCGCAAAAGGAGCCCTCACCAGCTTCGGACCTGGGACGTCGAAAGGTTCAGGTTCCTCTGGCTCCGAGGCGGAACCATCAGAGTCAGCCTCCAGCTCCACCGGTGGCTCCAAGCCCGAAACTTGCCGCCGTCCTCCCTCAGTACTAGCCGACTGCACTCCCTTCTCCAAAGCATCCGCCACCTGCATGACACGTGATGCTGGATCCAGATCTGGGTCGAAAGCCCCGCCTCGAATGGTTCGGTAGAGCGCGAGAACCTTTCCAGCCAAACTCGTGTATGCTTCCCGACTGTAGGTCACCATGCTCTTCACCTTCGGGAGGACGTGGTGGCCCAGAAGCAAGCGTTCATCATCGGTCAGCTTTATGATAGTCGATCGCCCTGCCCACGTCAACAAAGTGGTCTTCAAGGAATGCGTGCCGATGCGCTGGTTCTCTACCCCAGTGTCTGCCAGCCAGTCCTGAATCCAAGCTGTCGCTTCCGCGGAACCCATTTCGGTCGAACCCCAGGTGTCCAGCCTCAATGACCATGTAGGCAGAGCAAAACCATCAGCGCCCTCACCAAATGTGAGGCCGCAACTCGCCCTCGCATCTAGCCAAAGTTTTCCCCATCCACACTCTGTCAAGCCTTGCGCAAGAGCTGCATACGGCGTGAATCGGGTTTTGGCCTCCTTGCTGTGCGAAGTCTTACTTCCCAGTGCTTCGGCGAAAATCAGCTGGCTTTCTCCGTCTCCCAGAAGATGCACAGCCTTCAATCGCTGTGAGTCCTTCCATCGGCACACCGCATGCAGGCAGAAAAGAACATGACCCAAAACGCAGCGCTCCACCTCTCCAGCTCTCACCATGATGTGCTCCAGAGTCATGGCCTGTTTGCACTTCAGTGAATCCCTCTGAACCAGGGGCTGCTTTCCCAAGAAGGACGAATGAGCCAGACCCTTGCACCTCGCAGAAATGACAACCTTGAGATCCATGCACCGGAAATGTACCACGGCATGCATGAAGTGCAGAGCCTCCAAAACATGTGAAGGAGCTGACGCACCGCAGCCACTGTCCCGCATGGCCGACAGCGCCGAATACAAATCGGACTCTTCCATCCTCCATGGAGATCCAACGCCTTGCTTAAAGAGCTGGACCACCAGACGGTGCAACGACCCTGCTCTCTTGGTGAGGGTGCCCGCCGCCTTCTGTGCGAAGGCATCGCAAAAACTAGCTGCCGCCAGATCTTCGTCTTCTAGCTCACCGGTTTTCAGCATCAAGTGTCTCCCTAGGTTCGTAGCCATAGGGTCCAAGAGCACCATGACCTTGAGCTTCTTTAGGGCATGGTTCCTCTCATCTTCGTCACTACGCACGATGCGGATTCTCTGCAGCCTTCGTTGCACAGTCCAAGGAATCTCTTGAAAATCATCACTGCCAAGCTCGACATCAGGATCCGGAGGGTTAACTGTCTCTCGAATCCCCACGCTGGGGGTCATGGCAAGCCAGCTGGTCAAAGATGCCGTGAACGGGTCGCCTCCAAACACAGGGTGGTCCTGCCAGGCCTGTTTGGGACCCTCCACCCTCAACTTCTTGAAAGACATCTCCGCAGCCAGTTTAACAAAGGCCTCGTCACTGAGCCGAGCCCGCGTCTTCGAAGAGCTGGCCGGTTCTGCTACTTCAGCAGCGCACACAGAAGGCTCTCCCAGATGTTCAAAGGATAAGGGCTTCTCCGGAAAAACACCCACCTCATGGACTGGTGACGAAGGTCTGTCCTCCCGAACTGCGTTGTACCAATCAGCTTCATCTACCAAAGATGGCTCATAATCAAACAACTCCTCTTCACGGGCAAACTCACCAAAAGGCTTCGGATCCCAAACACCCCCTGAAATTGAAGGCTCCGAAGGCTGAACCACGTCCCAAGAAGGAGCTGAACCTGCAGGGGAGGATGAAGATTGTGTCTCTTCCATCACGAAGACAGAGGAAGGAGCTCACGAAGGCGATTCTGGGCTCCACGATCACAAGCAGAAAAGCAATACCAATCCCGCTCTCGAAGAAAGATCAGCACCCTCGAGCCCTCTGCCAAACTGACCAGCACACCCTGCAGTGTAGCAGTCAAGACGTACGTGAAGATGGACGGCGGGCTCTGCAAGCGCCTGAGCAGCAGACCAAGATGGAAAGAACGAGGTCGGAGCACGACCGGCACCAGGGCAGGGAACCGAGGCACAGCCTCCCAGTCCCAGCTCAGGCTTGATGCACTCGAATCTTCAGAGGACCAAGCGCTCGCGTCCATCAACAAGAAAATTTTCCTTCCCCTGGCTCAAAGAAAGGTTTGAGACTTGAGCCAAAATGGCTAAGACCGCCACTGGTGGTAGGGGCCACGAGTCCTTAAGGCGGGCACGCAGGGGGACAGGACACGAAACACATGGAGGGATTCGTACTCGCAAAATGCGAGCATGTTCGGGCACACGGGGCCCCGTCACCGAGGCCTTCGGCTGACTACCAACTTGGCCACGGACAAGCGACAGCTGGAGGCCTGCGGGTGGGAGCGTGCGGGGCGGGCAGGCCTTGGGCCAGAGCACGGGTCAAGGGGAGTGGATATGCAGCCTCCAGGGACGTGGAAAAACCGTTAGGTGCGTCTGGAGCCACCCCCCAAGGCAAATGACGTGGGGCGCAAGGGTGCCCCGGGCAGGATTTGCATATGCCGTCAAACGCACCCCGAGTGTATGCGATAGCCGTCCATTTAGGACGACGCCCGCCATAAGCGCAGCTTTGGAATGCAGTAAACTGAAGTAGGTGCGCGATTCGTGCAAACATGGAAGTGCGCCAGTAAAGGCTTTGTCGGGGGTTCTCCACCCCGATGACAAGGTCGCGAGAAGCAGCCTCAAGAACCAGGTCAGACACACAGTCGTAGAGCTGATTAGCTAAGGTGACTCGGAGGAGGGCCTGCCCACTGAGCTGCGGTAATCCGTTCGGAAACTTTTCCGAGCGGAGAGGAGGGGGTCCAGGAACACCTTGAACTTCCCTTGCACGGCTGGCCGTTCCACACGGTGGAGCGAACCAAATGCCCACACAGTTAGGCATAAGAAGCCACCGTCGAACCAACTCGACGCCCTCAGTCGTACACAAGTCGATAAGATGAACATGACAGGCGGCGCCGGGAAGGCGTTTATGGTCAACCGCGACAGCATCAAACCCAAGCTGCTTTAGGCAGGCCGAGAGCCTGGACATACCGGAGAAGACCTCGATAATAAACGGTGGCCTTGAAGACTCCACACTGGCAGACGGGGCGGGCCCTGGGGCAGGCTCCGGCGTGAGGCCCGTGACATCCGGAACGGCTGACAGCGCTGGGAGGAAGGCTGGTGGCAGGGCAAAGCCAAGCTCAAGGAGGGCCTGGGGAACCTCAAGCTTGACTGATGGCATATGAGGCAACGCATATGCTACCAGGACAACACGGCGGCCCTGCCATGGTTCAGTCATGTGCCAGTGGTCTTTAGCAGGCAGCTCGAGGCAGCCATCCTCGAAATTGAGCACACGACCCTGGACCGGAGAGCCTTGGACAGGCCGAATGTCTTGCCCCGGGCCTTCACACCAAACACCGCCCCCAGTGAAGCCGGAGATCTTGAAAACCAGATTGGGCGTTGGCCCATTGTGGGCATCACGGTGAGGCTCAGTAGGGATGTCACAAAATATGGCCAGAGAAGTGAAGACCGCAGCCGGCCGTCGTTGCCTAACGAACGCACAGAGGGCCTGCGTGACCTTTGGGAAACGAGAAACGTTGGTCCGAAGGCCCAGCACACCCCCTCTCCGGAACATGCCAGTGAAAAACGAGCTACCCGACGCCGCCTTATGGGGAGCTTCGTGCGGAAGAAGCTCCCACAGGGAGAGCACAGACTGAGGTTCAATAAGCTGGCCCTGCAAAAGTTGCTCAGCAAGCTCTTCAGGGTCATCGCAAGCAACACATGAATTCAGCTGAGAGGTTGACACAGGAGTGACGGAAACTGGGGGCTCAACCTTGTGCACAGATTGACCGACCACAACGGGAGCCACAAAACCAGTTTCGACAAGCGGCGGAACGGCTGTCAACACGGGCTCATCCGACGTTGAACTAACAAACTCCGTCTGGCACTGACTGTCACTCCTTGTGATCCTTGATAGGGTGCGGCTGGAAACACTTGCAACACAGGTGCTTGCGAGGGCATGTGGCTGCGGAACATTTGCACTTGTCCCCATGCAGATTGTAATCGAAACACAAGGGCTCACCTGTGGGAGCATTGGCCACACCGCCTTTCTGGAGGATCTCTTTTGGGACGCGAGCGCCGAGGGCGAACTTGCCTTTGCCTTTGCCGCCACCCTTGGGTCCACCCTTGACCCTTTTGTCACCAGGCTCAAGCTTTCGCTTGAGCTCGCGGCGCTCCTTGTTTCCATTGCCTTGCTTCTGTGGAAGCGGTATCAAGGCCATTGAAACATGG